TATTTGTATGTAATTCTTTTTCAATTTTTCCTAAATATTCCTCAATGAAATAACATTTAAAGATTAATGAGAAAAAATTGTTACAACGGTAAACACAACAAAAATATAGTATTGGGAAATTTATCAGAATACAAATTTACGATTGTCTAAATTCTAAAAAGTCTTTTTGAAACAAATACTATCTGTTTTTTAGAGTATCTGAAAAAATAAAAAAACATTATGAATGCAGTATTTTTTTTATTTATTGTTGCGCATTTTGAGCGTTTTTGTGTTTAAAAAATAAAAAGATTGTTTTATTTAAATATTTTTGTCTCTTAACAGGGAATAAAGTGCCGCTTTATTCCTTTAGGAATAAAATTAATGAAATACCGATTTTCTTTTTTTTTTAATAAACTGGCATTCAATGAATGAATTTTTTGAGTGTTTTTTGACATAAACAAACTCCTTAATAACGATTTTTATTGTTAAAATTCCAATTGAATGAACTGAATATTTTAGCAAATTTTTTGACATTTGACAAATTTATTATTTTCTAGTGTTATTATTAATTTAGTCTGTTGAGAGGAAAGTTTTGTATGCGTCTCTTGAATAAACATTGTTAATTTCTTGAATGAAAATGTCCTCGGTTTTTTTTGGTCACCGCTGGCGTTCGTTACCTTCATTCTCGGGATTAAAATAGTTGTCTATTCCCTTGATACTTGACAAACACCTTTTCAAATAAATTTATTTTAAAAGTAAACTGTTCAATTTCATTCAACCTCAAACGCAAATAAGGTCTAATAACAATTCGATAATTAGTACAAATAAGCATCCACTTATCTAAATTTTCCATTTTTAACACTCCACCACTAATTAATTTCCCGACCAAATTTCATGTAAGAAAACGACCTCAAGTTATAAAAGATAACGTATTTAAAGCGACCCTGAAATTCCAAAATAGTAACTCAACGACACAATTGGTCGGAAGTGACCATAAATGGGCATGGACTAGCCTTGAAACTCGCGTCGTAAATCCTGAAAAAATGCGTAATTTTTTTGATTTTTTCAGTGCCTGGCTGCCGGCTCTTCTATAATGAACAAAGAGGCCGAGAGCACGGCCATGCGCCCCCTTGCCAAAGCCGTCACGAAGAGTCTCGAGACGGTCCGCAACCTCCTGCGCGACACCTGCCTCCGCAACAACACCCCCAACGGCCCCATTAAGCTCGACAGCAACGAACTGGTCACCGAAATGCTCCTCGAGAGTCTCAAAATCTTCGATAAATTATTTGCCGAATTCGAACTCGCCTATGTCAGCGCCATGGTTCCCGTCAAGTCGATGCAAGAGTACGAACTCCAGGAGTTGATCGGCGTCCTCTTCAGCGAGACTTTACAACGCGCCCTCAAAATGAGACTCCTCACCCAGGAAATGGTCGACGATTGTGACCCCGCCCTCATGTTCACAATACCGCGATTGGCGATCGTAAGTGGCCTTCTGATCTTCCCGAGTGGACCTCTTTGTGTCGATAAACCAATAGAGGAGATGAGCAACATGTTTCGGCCTTTTCGGACTTTATTACACAAGATAAGGGAGTTGCTTTGGACATTAAATAAACGCGAATTGTACATGTTGGAGAAATTATTGTGCGACAATGAGCAAATTAGTGACGTTAAATCGTTCAGTGATAGTGATTTTCACTACGATTTTATTGACCAGTTTTATAGTGATTTGCATCGGGAGGAGCCTGGTTTTATAGAAACCACGCCCAAGTCACCGCCTTTAAAAGAAAAACCAATCGTATATCCGAAAGTTGAAACACCGGACACGCCCTCAACTTCTGGTTATTTGATCCCCAATAGTATAGCACACGATATTGTGGTAGCATCAATCGCTGACTCCGCCCCTCAACCCGGTGACTCCCCCCCTGATCATGACTCACTCGAGGTGATTTCAGTCGCAGCGGCTACTTTATCCTCGATTTTAATCGAGTCGCCGAGTGATTCAGGTGTTTGCACGGAGAATACAAGTCTAGACCGGTCACCAAGTCTAGATTGTCAATGTGGAGGTTCGGGTTGTAAGTGTCGAAAGAGCTCCCCTAGGAAAAAAGGGAAGAAGAAAGAGTTCACCCCCGGGACGAGTAAACTCCCTACTTTACCACGTAAGAGACAAGAAGATGACACTTCTAGTGTGGGCAGTTCGGACACCTCTTCATTTAATAGTAACGATGATGAGGAGATTGCACTTGCCATGCAAGCGGCCCAAATCGCCGAAGTGAGGTCGAAATACCGCTCCAGCGAGGACCTCATCCACCGACTCTTTGTCTGCATCGCCGGAGTCGCCGACCAACTCCAAACCAACTTCGCGAGTGACTTGCGCAACATCCTCAAGTCGGTTTTCCTAATGAACACTTCGGACGCGTCCGTGGACACCACCTCCATGGAGGCGTCGCTGGAGTATCGCCCGTCCGAGAACGACGTCATCGAGAACAACGAGTTCTCCGTCGATCCGAATATCCTAGCCCAGGAGGCGCTCTTCGACACGAATGTTTATTTCCATCTGGACCCCGAGGCCGAAGAGGGGGAGTATACGAACCATCCGAGGCAGGAGAGGAGTGTGCCGAGTTTGGGGGAGAGTCAAGCGAACGGGTCGAGTGAGAGGCCGCCGATCTGGATCCCGGATGTGGAGGCGCCCAAGTGCATGTCCTGCGGGATGAATTTCACGGTGGTGAAGAGGAGGCATCATTGCAGGAATTGCGGGAAGGTTTTCTGCGCGAGGTGTTCCTCGAATAGTGTTCCTTTGCCCAAGTTTGGACATCATAAGCCGGTTAGAGTTTGCAATAAGTGTTTTATTTATAATTTGACGCCGTTTACGATGTGAGGGGTACTTAAGTAGGGAATTTTAGGCGGGAAATTTGAAAGGTTTGACAGTTTTTTGCCTTATATTATTGTAGGATTAATCGAGTTTTGCATTTGTGGATTTCAACGACGCGTTTTACTTAATTTTGATATAATGGAGGGGTGGGCGCACTCGCTACGTCGACTTTTATGTGAGATTATCTTATTAGTAAGTACAAAAATTAAAACTTTACATTTGTCTCAATAGATTTTAATTTGTTGTACTGAAATATTTTGTGATAAATATTGTACATTTTATTTATATTACTGTGGTTTTGGGGATTATCCATGTCTCTAATAAAATTATTTTGAACTGATTGAGGCTTTCATTAGTTTGGCACCCATAAAGATAAATAAACAAAAACATAAATTAAGTTAACACAAAAAGTGTGCTAATTTAATAAAAAGAGAATTTAAAGTCATAAAAGCAATAGTTTTTTGGGGTATTTTGAGTGTTTTATGTTTAAAACTTGTAAAAATTACAAAAAGTCTTATTTGGTAAAGGAGTTTTCTATAATTTCATAAAAAAAATGACAAAAGTAGGTTAAAGGAACATAAAGAAATAAAAACAAGTAATAAGTTACTGCTAAATAATTTAACAAAAAAAGAGAACTATTAAAGTGAGCAATAAGAGATTTGAATTCTGCATTTAATAAATATGTTGTGTATTTTTTGCTTTTTTTTTATCCATAATTATTTTACATAAATTATTATTCAATGTTTCCTCAGCGTTTCTCAGAAAAAAAACAAAAAAATATTACATTTAAAGTAATATTTAATAATAATACAAAATTATAGATTATTTAATAGTAATACAATTTTTTTTGTCTATTAAATTAATTACATTTTGTTACATTATTTCTTATAAAATATATTTTTTTTCAAATTTATACAGGGTGATTTTTAGAAAACGGTGGGCGCTGATTTTGTCATTTCTTATTTAAAATTTGAAAAAAATGTTGGCAATATTTTCTTCCATTTGCTTCTTTTTGACAATATAATAATGTCTTATTTGACACCATTCAACTAGATTTTATTAAATTTTTTTTTCAACTTTGATAATTTTTTAAACAATAATTTTTAGTAAAAGTAGAACATATTACACGTGTTTGTACTAAGAGAACTAATACCTTCTAATTTATAAAGAAAAAATTATGGGTTTCAACTTAAAATTACAAATTTGAATACATATAGCCCAAAGTATACTGATATTCAGAAAAATTCTAAAATTGTTGGCTTATGTTATATTAAAAGCCATTTAATTCATTTTTTTTAATTTTTAGAATTGGGCCATAAATAAAAACTGTACAGCGCCTGCCGTTTTTTTTTAAACACCCTGTTTGTAAACAAAAATATTTACACATTTTGCATTTATTACTACCCAAAGGTAGGACATGGTTTTCAAATTTCCAGGGAAATTGCTTTAAAAAAAAATTTTTTCCTCAAAAATTAATCTTATTCCAGGGCTAACAACATACATACAGACAAAGTCAATGAAAATGAATCAAAATCTACGAATTTACGAAACATTTACATTTTATTGAGTAGGGGTTTTTTATTAATTATTACTTAAAATGTGTTGAACAAGATTTAATAAAAGACAAGATTTAAAAAATGAAGTATTGTTGAAAAAAACCATAAAAATGTAAGGATAAAATGAATTGAAATAACTGTACAACAAGATTGTCACTATATGCATTTTTAGAGTGACTTTTTTTGACCCTTTACCTGTAACACATTTTTTATTAAAAAAATTTGAAATGTCTAAATAAAAAAAATAAATATGAAATCAAATGGGTGAATCAATAACCTAAAATTACCAAAATACAAATTTATTGTCTATAAATTCATTTTGAAACAAATACTAACTACCTTATAAAATTACTGAAAAAAAAAAACAAAGCTTAAGAAAGCAGTAATTTTCTTAATTTTTGTGCATTTTGAGTGTTTTTTGTTCTATTTTTTCTAAATCACTAAATGAGTAATGAAATAAAGATTGTTTGATCACTAAATTAAATTAAATAGAGATAGATTTTACGAAAATCTATAAAAGTGGGTACAATTAAAAAATTAAAAATATATTAAAAATTAAGGACGAAAGGAGCTGCCATATTTTTGTTTTATTCTTCTTACTGCTGTTCTGCTAATTCGAAGAGCTACTAATTTAACAAAATTTTGAGAAAAAAAGTGCTAATTTTAGGTAAGTACTACAATTTTTCCAATAAAACAGACAAATATTTACGTATTTTATCTGCAAAAAATGAGAAGAGTGAGTTTTTTAATTTTGAATTAAATAAAAGAATTTGAACAAAATGCGTTATATTTTTATTGCACATTAAAATTATGTCCAAAAACTGATCCCTTCAAAATAAATCGAAAAAAATTCTGCTCGAATCCTCCCGTAATGACTTGAAACCCTGATCAATAAAGTCACCATGACAATCCCAAAACATCAAACTTCAAGATGGAAGAGAGCGACTTCAGCGAGGGCAATGACGCTGGCGACGATGCCCAAGAGGAGTACCTCGACCCCAGCAACCCCGAGCACGCTTTCGCCATCCTGGAACGCGACTTCAACAAGGTACCAAATCCCCCCAAAACCCCCACACAAAAACCCTATTTTAGACAGTCGCCGAAATCGAGCAACACCCCGAAGCCTCCCACTATGCCGAAGACTTCCACAGACTCTTCGAACAGTTCTACACCTCCTACCAGAAATGCAAGGACCTGGAGGAAAAAGGCTCCCTCCTCACCAAAGAACTGGACGAAAAAACCACAATCATTGAAACGGCCAACAAACTGGCCGATTTGGACAAGGGCACCATCACCGACCTCAAAACGCAGATTGAACACGCGTGGAGGTTGGCGGATGCTGCGCATGCGCGAGAACAAGCTGCGCAAGAAGCTATAGATAATCTGCGCAAGCAAATCGAAAGTTTGAACGCGGAAATTGAGTTTAGGAACAAGATGGGCGAAGACACCTCCGAGGAGTAAGCCAAAAAAAATCAAAATTTAGGATTTTCTAATGAAATTTTCAAGAATGGGCCAATTGAGCAAGCACAAGGAGGGTTTAGAGCGCGAAAACGAGAAACTTCTAGGGGAGGTGTCCCATTTAACCCAAAAACTGAACAACGCCCTCGAGTACCAGAACGAACTCGAGCGGAAAACCTCCATGGGCGATATGAAAATCAGCGAACTCGCGGGCCAACTTGAGGTATTTAGGCCGGTCCTGGAAACCCTCTCAAGCAGGCCCGTAGCTAGGGGGCTGAGCCCTACTTCAAACCCTGTCTTTTTTAACAACTTTCTTTAGAAATAATAACGAACCAAAAGTAACACACAAAATTCATATCTTTGTTATAAGTCA